GTAGTTCTCCAAGTTTCAGCTCTGTACAGTAGAACTCTCTTGACGTTAGTATTGAAAATTCTGACTTTGATATTGGCTGACAGTTGTTTTGAGTTTCATATTTTCTTCCATTGTGGGAATGCGACCCTTGCTTTAGCAATCCTCGCCTTTACGTCTGCATCCGATCCTCCTTGTTCATCGATGATGCTTCCCAGGTACGTGAAGGATTCCACACCTTCCAGGGTTTCGACAACAAGTGTGATGGTGTTCTCTGTGTTGCATTTGAGGACCTTGGTTTTCTCTTTATGTATGTTGAGGTCTACTGAAGAAGAGGCTACTGCTACACTAGTTGTCTTTATCTGTATTTGTTCGTATGTATGGGATAGGAGAGCTAAGTCATCTGAGAAGTGAAAAACGTCAAATTGGTCCTGAGCTGTCCAATGTATTCCGTGTTTTCCATCAGATGTCGAGGTCTTCATAATCCAGTCGACAAGTGGAAGAAAGAGAAATGAGCAAAGTTATCAGCTTTGTCTGACTCCGTTCGTCACTTGGAATGCATGTCAACTGTCCTCCATGCACGACTTTGCACTGTAATCGGTCGTATGAATCACGGATGATGTTGACGATCTTCTCAGTTGCTCACTCTATAATGCCGAGGAAGTTTCCATAATGTTCTCCTATCCACACTGTCAAACGCCTTGCCATGATCAATGAAGTTGATGTATTGTGACGAGTTCCACTCAACTAATTGTTCGATATCCATGTGTTAAAATATATAAAAAATAAATTGTTCGACGATGATCTGTAGTATCGCGATTTAGTCTGTGCATGACCGGTCCCTACAGAATCCAGCCTGTTGATCTCGAAGTTGGGCGTCTACTGAGTCTTTCATCGGGTTCAGCAACACTGTTGAAAACATTTCCTGGTACTGACAGTAGTATGATGCCTCGGCAGCTCAGGTCTCCCTTCTTTGGAATTTTGATCAGGTGTCCTTTCCAGTCTGTCTGTGGCACTTATTCTTCTTCCCAAATCTTCCTGAATAGAACGTGGAGCATGCTTGCAGTTGCTTCTATGTCTGACTTCAGAGCTTCAGTTGGTATATTGTCAGGTCGTGTTGATTTCCCACTCTTGATTTGTCTGACGGCCATCCTGATTTCTTCCGTCGTTGGTGGAGTGACATCTATAGGAAGATCTGTGTGTGCTGCTTCGATGTCCGGTGGATTCATTGTAGATGGTATATTCAAGAGTTCCTCAAAGTATTCTACCAACCTGTTCCTCTGTTCATGAATCTTGGTGATTGTCTTGCCTTCTTTGTCCTTGACCAGTCTCTCTGGTTTACTATATTTCCCTGCTATTTTCTTCGTTGTATCATATAGTTGTTTCATATTTCCTTCCCTTGCAGCTTTTTCGGCCGTCGTCGGCAGTTCTTCCACGTATTTCTACTTGCCGGGCTCTAATGCTCTTCTTCACTTGCTTGTTTGCTTCAGTGTATTCAGCTTGTGCTTGGACTTTCTTTGCTCTTGTTCGCCTGTTGTTAATTGTTGTCTTCTTGTTCTTCCTTTCTTTGGTCTTGTCCAGTGTTTCTATAGAGATCCATTCCTTATGATGATGCTTCTTTAGGCCCAGAACCTCTTGACACGTTGAAGTCAGTGCTTCTTTGATACCTTTCCAGTTGTCCTCCATAGTAGTTTCTTCTTCCTTCAGTAGATCCTGTAAGGCTTGGAACCTGTTGTTGAGAGCTATCTTGAATTCATTGAGTTTGTCAGTATTACGAAGGAAGGCTGTATTGAACCTTTGTAATGCTGTTTGTCCAGTTGTACAGTGTTTCTTTAGCTTCACTTTCATCTTGGTCACAACCAGGTGGTGATCTGAATCTATGTCAGCTCCTCTCCTGATTCTCACGTCTTCCATTGTCCTCCGGAATTTTTTATTGATGCAAATATGGTCTATCTGGTTCTCTGTGCTGTGATCCGGTGAGACTCACGTAGCTTTGTGTATACATTTGTGTAGAAATATTGTGCCGCCTATGACCGATTTGTTGAATGCATACAGATTCGCAAATCTTTCTCCATTTTCGTTTATCTCTCCCAGTCCATGTCGTCCCATGATATCTTCATATCCGGTGTTGTCCATTCCGACTTTGGCGTTTAGATCTCCCATCAGAATGGTGAGGTCCTTTCTTGGGCACTTCTCTATGATTGACCGCAGCCGCTCGTAGAATTGATCTTTAATGTCGTCATTGCTATCATTGGTGGGTGCACAACATTGGATAATATTCATTATAATCCCCTCGTGTTTTGTTTTGAATGATGCTTTGATGATTCTGGATCCGTGAGATTCCCATCCTACAAGTGCATTTCGTGCTACTTTGGACAGCATCAGAGCAACTCCCTTAGTGTGCGGAGCATTTTTCTCTTCGTGACCGGAGTATAGCAGCAACTCTCTCGTGTTTAGCCTTTACTGTCCAGCTTGGGTTCAATGGGTTTCGTTGATTCCCAGTACTGCCGATTTGTATCTCCTCATTTCCGTTGCTATTTGACTGGTCTTCGTGGTCTCCCACATTGTTCGGACGTTTCATGTACCTATAAAAGTTGTTGCTCGAGTTGTTAAATGGGGCATCAGCCTCGTGACTTCCGAAGGAACTCGGCTTTTACGATGAAGCGTCATAATTCTTCTAAATGAAGACCTTCTAACTCTCAGGGCAGAGTTTAAGTGGTTTGAATTATTTTTTCTGGTAAGCGTTTTTGTGGCGAGTAAGTTTTCTACGGGATGGGGCTGCCAACCCCTGCTCAACCCTCTTCCTTTACCCGGGCTTGGGATCGGCAGTAACTCTAGGAGGGCTACGGATGGAGTTGATGGAAATAATACGTAAATCATAATTCCTACTCGTGTTATGGTATTCATTATCATGGAACAAATATAAACCATTTAAGTTCAGTTTCATACGGATATATCTCCAGTAAACTAGATTTCCTAGGTGTTTGATATCTTTTCGTACTCATTGGCTTGTGTATGCTGTTACGGGTATGAGGGCTGGTGTCACTTCCCGGCTGCCCACACCGTGGAAGGGTATTTCTTGAGGAACTTGAAAAGGAAATTGGATTAGTGTTGGTCTTGACGACCTGGGAGCGTGACCACAGAGCCCAAGGGACAACTGCTTGAGGCCGGTCGCGCACGGTTCTGAGACTTTTGTTTGTAACCCTCTAACACTACTGTGCAAACAGTAAATAAGAAAGGAGCGTTTCTTAGCTGAAGTTATCTATTTCGCACTTCGACTTCCAAAACTTCGGTGGTTTAACCCACCCACTATTTTATAGCGGTCCATTAATATTTCACATAAAATGTCTCATTATTGTGTTGTCTTCCGGATCAATTTCATTAAAAAGCAACCATAAACATAAAATTAGGAACAAATGTTATCCTTTTTTCCTGAAAACTAATTGCAGACTGTATGGTATAAAAGAATAAGAGGGAATATCATGATTTATCACATTTTTTATAGCCTCTTTTATCATAATGGTTTACCTCAGTTTCTAATTCGGTACAGTACTCTATCTACTAAGCATAAATCACAACATTTCGTGGTAGCCGTCCTAAGTAAGGACCTGCAAGTTGTGGAAGTCATCCTTCAACGTTGTGTTGGCTCCATATGTTATTTCACTGAGAAGGAAATAATGAATATTTTGACATCCAACATCTCCGTTCGGTGTGCAAAGTATCTAAAACCCTTATTCAAAACTATGTGCACAAACCTGTATGTAATTACTGGTTTGTTTTGCTGATACTGAGGTTGACTCTGTCATTATTGTTTTATTATTATTTGAACACATAAATATTGGTACAAGGGGGCACCAGATACATATGCGCCACACAAGTCCCATTTGATTTGTGTAAGGGCTGGGATACTGCCCGAACGCCTAAACCGAAACAGATAGTTTTCTTAGCGGACCACACTCAGAGCCTTCGACCTAAAGGTCTGATCCACAAGACAGTGGAGCAACGTGAGGACATGTAGTCCCATGGTAGCCGATGACCAAAAATAGGTTCATACACCATTTGTTCCCTCAGGATCGTGGAGCCCATATACACCATTGTTTTGGAATGAGGGTTTTCCAACTCCCCTGGGTGAATTCCCCATGTTCACCAACCCGGTTAAAGTGCCGGACATTCGATTTTCGTCCTCTCAATTTCGTAAACAACATCCGTGGTGCGAGAAGCCAGTGAGTAGGACTTCCCTGGCAGTGGTTGTACGCACGTTGTCATGTGAGAGCATTTCGAGAGGGAGAGCAGACTCTTCCAACTCTCGGCCGTACCAGGGCATTTTGGGGCAATCACTATAGGGTTGTGGAGATTATTAATTTGTTGATTGAGATCTTGGACCGATTGATGTTAGATCACCATTGAAAATCTGGAAGCATTATACGGCCGTTTTGTCCTATTATGAGACTCCTCAGCAGTAAGCATCCACTATCCCGCTCCCGGGATTCGTGCCCAAGACCTTCAGTTTCGACTCTGTTCTACCATCTTGTTGAAGTAATATTCTACTCAAAATACCTCCTGGTGGGTACGTGGGATCCACCAAGAGGAGTTGGAAAACCCATATTCTAAATCAACACTGCACATGGGCTACAGAATCCTGAAGGAAAAAACGGCATATAAACCCGTTGTTGATCACCGGCTACCATGGGACCGCATCTTCTAACGTTCCTCCACTACCCTATGAGTTAGACCTCTAGGTCGAAAGCTTGGTGAGTAGCTTAAGAAAACCAACTGTTCCGGCTTGGGCACCAGTGCAGTGTCTCAGCCCGCACACAAATTCAGTGGTTTGTGTGGCGCATAAATATTTTGGTGCCTCTTTGTGTTAATGTGTGTTTACATAAATAATAACTTCTTGGTGGTGAAGATTCCAATGCTAGAAACCACTATAGTATATCAAACGCTAATTTCACCAACATTCTGCAATTTCCGCTTGAAAGAGAAGAAAGGTTCTCGTACTAATTTGTTTTGTATTTTCATTTCAGCCCTGGAGTTTTTTCTGTTATCTTTACTGATCAACTCTTGGAACAGTTAACTTTTGGCTGCCAAACTTTATTTTTGAGAAAAACATTAACCTAAATATTTGATCCATAAAACTTCTCAATGTCCATCAAGGAAGGTTATCTGAAAAAGTGGTCCGGTACGAGCATTGTTTAAACCATTATTTTATTTCAGATCGTAAAAATTGGCACAATGTATACTGTAAGCTGTTAAATAATGGTTGGTTTCAATGGTTTGATGATGCATCTTCCACCTCACCCAAACGGAGTGTTGAAATTAGAGTTCGTTCTTATTATTGTCTAACTTTTCGCTTTAGCGTGTAGCATCGTTTCTAGCGTTTGGAGAACCTTTTCACCGTGTTCCATGCAACCCGACCTCATTAACAGCTTCAGAAATTCCTTTGGCTTTTGGTGTTCTCTATGGACCTCATATGGGGACTCAAATGGCTTGGTTTGCCTGTCCGGATCAAGCAACATTGAGGTATTTTCTCAATGCTTTAACAGAATTTTACTATCTCTACGTTCTAAATTTCATTCAACACGATAACTGAACAAAACTACCCAGTTCAAGTGATTACGGCTTTTTTATATCTCAGCGTAGGCTCCAACTACAACATTAGGAGTGTATTTAAATTAATTAAACTAGCAAAATATCACACAGACCGTTGGACAACAATACAGCCAATCAACCGACCGTTGCTGCTACCTTGACGTGTTGGTCGAGCTACACTGGCCGGAACAATCATTCCTCAAGGTCCTACTATGCCAGACAGGTCGGTTGAAGAGCGCTAAGACTAAAAGCAGTTAACCCAAGGTTCGAAGGTGAAGTCGTACTGCTGTCTGTACAGCGGTGTGACGGCAGTAAGGTGTTTCCTTCAGACAACGAGCATAACGTTGATGCTGCTTTCACACAAGGAGGGGTGGGGTTAGAAAAGGTCGACCCTAAAAATGCGCATCTCGCCTTATCCCATGGATTTCCGTTTCCGGCGGTAAGGTCTCAACAAGTGTGGAGCTAACACGAAAGTTACTCACAAAAAGGTCGTGTGTGACCAACCTCAATCAGTTGTCCCTTTGGCATTGCGATCATGCTCTGAGGTCACTAAGACCACTCTTTACCCAATTTAATTTTCAGGTACCTTTAGAAGAACCCTTCCACAGTGTGGGCAACCGGGAAGTGAAAACAGCCCTCAAACCTCTAAGATCACTGTGTTCATAATCAATCTCCCGCTTATGTTTCTATTATTCCTCCTACATTCAATTTCAACTCCAAACTTCCTCTTTTGACTTGCTGCTCAAGTGCTACTATGGCCAACGATTCTAGTGCGCGGAACTCTATCCCAGATCTACTGAAACCTCGCCCCAAACTACACATTGGAGCCTTCAACGTACTCACTCTATGTCAAATCGGTCAGCTGGCCTTCTTGGCCAAAACCCTAGAATTTCTTAGCATCGATGTATGCTGTGTCTCTCAAACACGCATACAGAATCCTAGTGTGATCATTCACTTGACCTCACCTCGCCAAAATGGAGAGCCGACGAGATACACCCTTCGTGGAGTTGCTCTGATGCTGTCCAAAGTAGCACGAAATGCACTTGTAGGATGGGAATCTCACGGATCCAGAATCATCAAAGCATCATTCAAAACAAAACACGAGGGGATTATAATGAATATTATCCAATGTTGTGCACCCACCAATGATAGCAATGACGACATTAAAGATCAATTCTACGAGCGGCTGCAGTCAATCATAGAGAAGTGCCCAAGAAAGGACCTCACCATTCTGATGGGAGATCTAAACGCCAAAGTCGGAATGGACAACACCGGATATGAAGATATCATGGGACGACATGGACTGGGAGAGATAAACGAAAATGGAGAAAGATTTGCGAATCTGTATGCATTCAACAAATCGGTCATAGGCGGCACAATATTTCTACACAAATGTATACACAAAGCTACGTGAGTCTCACCGGATCACAGCACAGAGAACCAGATAGACCATATTTGCATCAATAAAAAATTCCGGAGGACAATGGAAGACGTGAGAATCAGGAGAGGAGCTGACATAGATTCAGATCACCACCTGGTTGTGACCAAGATGAAAGTGAAGCTAAAGAAACACTGTACAACTGGACAAACAGCATTACAAAGGTTCAATACAGCCTTCCTTCGTAATACTGACAAACTCAATGAATTCAAGATAGCTCTCAACAACAGGTTCCAAGCCTTACAGGATCTACTGAAGGAAGAAGAAACTACTATGGAGGACAACTGGAAAGGTATCAAAGAAGCACTGACTTCAACGTGTCAAGAGGTTCTGGGCCTAAAGAAGCATCATCATAAGGAATGGATCTCTATAGAAACACTGGACAAGACCAAAGAAAGGAAGAACAAGAAGACAACAATTAACAACAGGCGAACAAGAGCAAAGAAAGTCCAAGCACAAGCTGAATACACTGAAGCAAACAAGCAAGTGAAGAAGAGCATTAGAGCCCGGCAAGTAGAAATACGTGGAAGAACTGCCGACGACGGCCGAAAAAGCTGCAAGGGAAGGAAATATGAAACAACTATATGATACAACGAAGAAAATAGCAGGGAAATATAGTAAACCAGAGAGACTGGTCAAGGACAAAGAAGGCAAGACAATCACCAAGATTCATGAACAGAGGAACAGGTTGGTAGAATACTTTGAGGAACTCTTGAATATACCATCTACAATGAATCCACCGGACATCGAAGCAGCACACACAGATCTTCCTATAGATGTCACTCCACCAACGACGGAAGAAATCAGGATGGCCGTCAGACAAATCAAGAGTGGGAAATCAACACGACCTGACAATATACCAACTGAAGCTCTGAAGTCAGACATAGAAGCAACTGCAAGCATGCTCCACGTTCTATTCAGGAAGATTTGGGAAGAAGAATAAGTGCCACAGACAGACTGGAAAGGACACCTGATCAAAATTCCAAAGAAGGGAGACCTGAGCTGCCGAGGCATCATACTACTGTCAGTACCAGGAAATGTTTTCAACAGTGTTGCTGAACCCGATAGTAATGGTGTTATTGTGTTACTTCGTATATATCTAGGCTAATTGTCAGAGTATGGCTAAATTTTTTTCCACTTGAGAAATCTGGAAGCCAAGTACTGGTTGACTTGGAATCAATCTTTATTAGGTGTGAGTTAGTTGAATAGATTACATGTCAGGAAATTATTTTTTATTTATTTAACATATAGACAGTGGTACAAGGATGCACCAAATACATATGCGCCACACAGATCTCATTTGATATGTGTGAGGGCTGTGATACTACCCGGGTGCCCAGACCGAAACAGGTGGTTTTTTTAGAGGGCTACATCCGGAACCTTCAACCTGAAGGTCTGATCCACATGGCTGTGGAGCGACGTAAGGAGATGCAGTCCCATGGTAGTCGGCGACCAACAATTGGTTCATACGCCATTTGTTCCTTCAGGATACTGGAGCCCATGTGTACCACTGGTTTGGAATCAGGGTTTTCCAACTCCCCTGGGTGAACTCTCCATATCCACCAACCCGGTTAAAGCCGGTGCTGGACACTCGCTTTTCGTCCTCTCAACTTCGTAAACAACACCCGTGGTGCGAGAAGACAGTGAGTAGGACTTTCCTAGTAGTTGCTGTATATGCGCAGTCATGTGAGAGCGTTTCGAGAGGGATGCTGACTTGCCTCACCATCAGCTGTACCAGGACATTTTGGGGCATACATCAGCAGTCCAACCAGACATACCAAGAGGATGTGTAGGGTGTATGTGTAGTGAAAAGCCGTGACTAGTTTAACCCACTTGTCGGGAGTAAAGTAGTCATTATCGATGAGCAGTGACGTCGCCAGTGGGCACTGCTGGAAAATCTTTTACTAAGATGAAGCAATTAACTACTGTGTGGACTTTAATGACATTCTCGACTGCTCTCAATCCTTTACTAAATTTACAACGAATTTTAAAAAATTAGGATAAAATTTATCCTAACATCTCACTGTCTATGTCACTGCTCCGTAAACACTATGATTACCGAGGAAAACTTTACTGGTGCACCATTAGCGTCTTTATTTTTCACAAGTAATAGTATTCAGAAACTTTTTAAAATGTATATGGAGTTTGAATTTAGGCTGTTTTTGTTATAACTTGTGCCCTTTGTCCGATTAATGTATAACGTAATGACACCGCCAATTAAAGAACAGTGAATTATCTATCGGACCAATGACGCATAAAAGAAGTACGAGCAGTCTAAAGTCCTTATCTGTCCTGTTTCCCGCCTAGTTCAGAACACCAATCTCAGCCTCTGCGATATGTATTATGTATTTCAAACATACTGGGTTTATATACCTACCGAGGAGACCATATCGTACCATAAAATAGGAAACAACATTTGTACAAGAATTAGCCAAATGTGGCTGTGAATGTGGGAGACTGTAATGAATAGACTGGGCATAATCCAAGAATGTTAAATTGTATAATAATAGTTCATACGTTAAAACATAGCTTTTAATAAGAGGAACACGAATATGAATAGTTTTGCTACTTAACAATTATACGATAAAAGTATACGTATAGTATTGATCCATAAATGGATCCCAAAAGTTACCATTCGTTATTCTCATCGGGATATAACAGTTTTAATCGAATATATTTTCAATCTACGTTGTGATTTTATCCATCCTATTATCTTTTCATACTTTAGCTCATGGACAAATGCGTTAACTTCATTGGTGAGTAGTATTTCAATAGTTTAGTCTTATTGCTTTTTTCATATTCGTTTATAATTACTGTTTTTTATGTTAGTCAGCTGGAGATTATCAACAGAAAACCTTGTTTGACTCAGGTTTTGAGCCAGTTAGCACATGCGGACCTGCATTTTTCAGAAGAATGGTGTTATCGGATGGGTTCGAGCCTTCAAATACTTGACATTTGAACATAGTGCAAACACGACGTTTAGTAGCTTAGACAATAATGTCCACATTGTAACCCAATCGATATAATTCGATTAGCAGCAATTAGGACTACACAAACATGACATTGGTAGATACTGACTGATTATCCAGTGCTTTGGAGCTTTATATGGTGACGCAACTTGATATTGGTTGCCATCGGCACAATAAGTAAATAAACAGGAAATATATCTAAGTTGATAGTTTGAATGTTACTCTATACTTTTAATTAATTCTTTAATTTAATTGATTCCTTCTAAAGATCTAAGTATTTTAGCACTACTTAATATTCATCATTTTGATTCATTTGGTCTTCACCTTGTTGCTTTACTGTTGTACTATGTTTTTAAAGCATCCCACTTCCAGCCACTAGGTCGCGCATTAAAACCCCTCACATTGATGATGACTGATTAACTGACCCTTTGCTTAATCTGATTTGATTCGAACAGTTGGATTGTGTCATTACACGTTACATAACGAAGACAGAGTACATAAACCTTTACTTGGTAGCTAGTCAAGGGGTTGCTTAGTGGTCAATGTTATATCCAGGGGGTGTGTGATTAAATTATGGGTAACTTCTAAGATCTATTAATAAACTAATATTTTTTGTATATTCTTATTGTCTAACTAGATTATGAACATCTATATTCGCCTTATTATATGCTTTATTTGGACCTATAGACTATTATGATACGATTTACTATTCTTAAACTGTACTCAGTTTGTTGATTCCAGTCTCCCACAATCACGGCCACTTTTTGACTTGATCTTGTACAAATGTGATTTCTTATTTTGTGGTGTGATGTGGTCTGTTTGGCTGGTATATAAACCAAGTATGCTTAAATAAATAATTCAAATAGTGGGAGCTGTTATTGGCGTTCTGGATGGGCTAGGAGAACAAAGAACCAATAAGGGCTTTAGGCTGCTCATACCGGTCGAACGTCATTGGCTTGGCACAGTACTAGGATTGTATAAGTCTCATTTCGATTGGCGAATAAATCACGTGATAATTAGACGGGTTTAAAATCACAACAGTTAAGCCGTTCACCTTTCAGCCACAGGTTCAAAACCGACCATCCACCTCTTTGGTTTTGGCAACCGGCTGGTTTTATTAACTATCACACTCGGGGGGTGGTTCAGCCCCGAAATGCCCTGGTACGGTCGTCCCATGATATCTTCATATCCGGTGTTGTCCATTCCAACTTTGGCGTTTAGATCTCCCATCAGAATGGTGAGGTCCTTTCTTGGGCACTTCTCTATGATTGACTGCAGCCGCTCGTAGAATTGATCTTTAATGTCGTCATTGCTATCATTGGTGGGTGCACAACATTGGATAATATTCATTGTAATCCCCTCGTGTTTTGTTTTGAATGATGCTTTGATGAGTCTGGATCCGTGAGATTCCCATCCTACAAGTGCATTTCGTGCTACTTTGGACAGCATCAGAGCAACTCCCTTAGTGTGCGGAGCATTTTTCTCTTCGTGACCGGAGTATAGCAGCACCTCTCTCGTGTTTAGCCTTTACTGTCCAGCTTGGGTTCAATGGGTTTCGTTGATTCCCAGTACTGCCGATTTGTATCTCCTCATTTCCGTTGCTATTTGACTGGTCTTCGTGGTCTCCCACATTGTTCGGACGTTTCATGTACCTATAAAAGTTGTTGCTCGAGTTGTTAAATGGGGCATCAGCCTCGTGACTTCCGAAGGAACTCGGCTTTTACCATGAAGCATCATAATTCTTCTAAATGAAGACCTTCTAACTCTCAGGGCAGAGTTTAAGTGGTTTGAATTATTTTTTCTGGTAAGCGTTTTTGTGTCGAGTAAGTTTTCTACGGGATGGGGCTGCCAACCCCTGCTCAACCCTCTTCCTTTACCCGGGCTTGGGACCGGCAGTAACTCTAGAAGAGCTACAGGCTACCTAATTGGACATCAGAGTCGCCTGCTACGAGTACTATGTTTGAGTGTTTAGCTTTTTGAAGAAGTTCAGAAAGCTTTCTGCAAAAGTCATCTTTCACTTCATCCCGGCTGCAGACAGTGGGAGCGTAGGCAGAAACGACGTAACTGTAATCTTAACGCAGTTGTTTTAATCTCATCCTTATAGTGTACTTTTACCGTGTTTAAAGTATGTACTAATAATCACTGTGTAAAAGACATTGAGAGCTTCACAACGAAACAATTACCCAGTTAATTGGATTGACATCTTTCTGAGTAACAAATCACTTGCTTCTTTATATGTATATACTTATCATAGAGTACCTTGACATCTGTTGTATAACACAATACAATTGTGTTTCAGTTTCAGCAAACTTCAACTCTTCCATCTGCCCCTCCACCATATCAACCTTCACCGGCACCAGCTCTACCTACAGGATCAATCGGTTTTGGAAGTAAATATAATTTTTTTTTATAAAGATAAAATACAACTTTATTTTCATGTTGACATGTTTCATTGTGTAAAAATGTGTTAATCAAGGAAAATTCTATAGTTTAAATCACTTCAAAATTATTAGAAATAGTGATAGAATTCCTATTAAATAGTGTTTGTATACTTTGGATAATTTGAAAACTATTCTACAGTTCAGTTAAGGTCAAATTGGTTCCTTGTGTCTAAAATACAGCTTGAGGAGCTGGGCTTTGATTGTATTAGCTAAATTGAAATACAAAATGTTTTGTCCTACACTCTGTTGGGATGGTTTCTAAGAACCACAACGGAGCCTCTAGAGGCTCTAGAAGAGCCGAATAATTCTATCCAATCAGTACGCAATGTAACTTTCTAGAATATCAATGTGACATGCTACTATTGGTCAGTAGCATAAAATGCCTCTTTGCAGATTGGTTGAATTATAATGTTTTAACAAACGCTAATATCTATAAATACTCATGATTTTCTGTATATTTTGATTTTTGCCCAACAAACACGTTCTGCAGTTAAATGGTGGTTTGAGGTAGTCGACAAGAAACCATGGACCCGGGTTTCGTGCTACTTGGCACTCGTCGGCAAGGTGTACCTGTAATCTTGAGGGAACTGGTGCTCTTTAGCGGATTCGATCTCGTGTCACCCAGCTTCACAGTCAGAGACGTTATCACAGTGTCGAGTCACCTAGACTGGTGGCCACATTGCAACATGGTCGATAGAATTCGATCTGCACTAATAAGGACTAGACACGCATGGCATTGATCGCTACCCAATGATCAATCAATTGTTACTTTCTGCAGTCTTCTTCTGTTTTCCTATTTACGACTTGAGAGGGTTCTAGCGTTCGGGTGCTGAAATCATACGTGGTCTATTAAGAATCTAAGCTTCTAGATATAACATACTTTGCCATCGTTATGTTGTATTTAATGTTCAGTAGTCTTTGATTGATATGGTGGTTACCGAGGTCTTAATTAATTTGGGTGTGACTGACAGATGATATTGATTTTTCCCCCAATCATCTCGATGTCATGTAGTCACAGTTTGAAGAGGGCATAATTACATTAGTTATATCTTTCCCCTATAGGGATTTCATTTTATGATAGTATAAATATCCATATTAGTAGTCAGAAAATCATTTGAATAATCAATGTCAAGTACTACACGGTTCAATATATACACAAATCTAACCATTAATTAATGTAAATCATATCAATACCAGTATATTTCAAAAGTACATTTTAATTTATATTGGGTGCCAAATAAATCTTCAATAAATCGTCCTCATATTATACAGATCATGTAACTTGCAATGGTTTCTGTTTTCAAGTATTTGACAATAGGATCGAGTGATTTTAACATTGACATTCTGTAATAATCATCTGTAAATTGATAATTAAATATTGTTCAATGCGTATCAGGATTCTGATCCCGACCGTTGTTGCTACCTTGATGTGGTGGTCGGACTTGCCTATCGCGATGAAGCAACCGAGCTATGCTAGCTGCAACCAACCGTTCCTCGAGATCCTATCATGTCAGACAGGTCGATTTAAGAGCGCTAAGACTAAAAGCAATTAACCCAAGGTTCGAAGGCGAAGTCGTACTGCTGACTGTACAGAGGTGTGACGGCAGTAAGGTGTTTCCTTCAGACAACGAGCATAACGTTGATGCTGCCTTCCCACAAGGAGGAGTGGGGTTAGGAAAGGTCGACCCTAAAAATGCGCATCTCGCCTTATCCCACGGATATCCGTCTCTGGCGGTAAGGTCCCAAAATGTACGGAGCTAACACAAAAATTACCCATAAAAAGGTCGTGTGTGACCGACCTCAAGCAGTTGTCCCTTGGGCACTGCGGTCACGCTCCCAGGTCACTAAGACCACCTCTAATCCAATTTCCTTTTCAGACACCTCCAGACCTCCAGGATTCTGATATGAATGTCAAAATTAGCATTATATATATACTCAGCAAATAAAGATCAAATATTTGATCTTGATCAGTTGTATATTTGAAATCATACTTGAATTGTATTATAAGGGTTTTTTCACGATGAAATTCACACATTAATCATATTCATCATGGGTGTCAAGTTTTTGCAAAAGTTAGACGACAGTAGTTCTTTTTTTTATAGCTTAGTCATCAAGATTTGAATATTCAATGCTTAAACTATCCACAGTAGTAATCCTTCATTATTTTTACAATTACTAACACTACTTTCTCATTAGTTGTGATGGCTCTGTTTTATTTAGCTAAATATGTATATGTATCGATATTTATATCCATTTACTGTTTGCTTCAATTAATCTTCTTTGTACTGTTCAACTAAGTACTGGACGGTTGTTTCGTCCCATTGTGGGACTCCTCAGCTATGAGCACCCACGATCCCGCCACGCGAGATTCGAACCCAGAACCTATAGATCTCGCGCGCGAACGCTTAACGGTGAGACCACTGAGCCGGCATTCAATGGTGTTAATGTCTAACTTCAACTAATCCACAAAATCAATTTGTCAATCACTGTCCGAGTTGTTGATTTCCTTTTTTAATAGATTTATTTGTATACTACTGTTAGTTAAACTTGAAATATACTTCTGTAATTGTTTTCTTCCATCTTTTCTCAATTTTCAGTGCCTGATCCATCTGCTTATGGTGGAAATCCTGGTATGTGAATTTCTCCTTAATTATTTTTTAAAATTTAATATACGAGTTTTTTTTTTTGAGATCACGAATTGACTTAAGTAATAATTGAACATCTTGTAGTGTAGGGTCGTACATGACGAGTGGTGAAGGGTCCCTTTATTGGGACTAAACAGTTGTCCAGAGTGCTTCCAGCTTTCGAATAGTTGTTCAACTTACATCTGTTTGTGATCTCTCACTAATATTCAACAATTTCCACTACCCCCATACTAATAAATATCTATGAATTTTATAGGCGGTTATGGGCCTCCTCCCCCGATTAGTCAACCTAATTATGGATACCCAACTAATAATTATGTCCCACCAACAGTACCACCAGCACCAGGTGCTTATGTGCCTGGGACAAGTTCTTATAGTGGTAATCAACCACGTCCACAAGATCCACAAAGTCAATATTTTGTCGGGCAAAATGGTCAACCATATCAAGTGGTCTATATAGATGGTAAACCGAAAAAGAAGAAATGTAAAGGATTAAAAAATGCAGCAGTTGGTAGGTTGGATTTATTTCTTTTTGTAATCCAAATTCATTTTATGTAATGATCAATATTGCTTTAAGTGATGTTGTGTGAGTTGTTAGTTCCTTTTTTCAATTATCCCATTGAAAGAGAATTTGTAGACTTTTACTTAGCGGCTACAGATAACCTTTCCATCATCTTCGTATCTTTTTATTACACTGATATCCGATGCTGGTTTACTTAATGGAGTAGTTTAAAAAAAATTAGTGACACGAGGCAGACTAAGACATCAAGAAATCAACTTATTTAAACTTATTGACCTTTAATCTGATCATCATAGAATGGTACAAACTGCTTGATGTTTCGTCCTCCGCCAATGACATTCTTAGATGATGTTTGGAGGCGGTGTTTATTTGTGACAGATAGCCCTGAAATGGCCTGGTACGGCTGAGTGTGTGGAGAATCAGCTCTCCCTCTCAAAATGCTCTCACATGACCACGCGTATCCAGCCACTACCGCGGAAGTACCACTCACTGTCTTCTGGCATCAGGGATGTTTACGAAATCGAGAGGACGAAAAGCGAGTTGGTGGATAGGAACGGTGCACATGGGGCCCCAGGATCCTGAAGGAACAAACGGTATATGAACCTATTGTTGGTAATCGGCTACCATAGGACTACATTTCCTAATGTTGCTCCACTACATTGTGAACTAAACATCTAGGTCAAAGGTTCGGGAAGTAGTTTCCTAAGAAAAGCACCCACTTCGGTTTGGACGCCTGGGCAGTATTCCAACCCTCACACAAATCGAATGATGAAGTGTGGTGCATATCTATTTGGTGCCTCCTTGTACCACTGTTTATGTGTCTAAATAAATAAGTAATGAAAGTAGAAGACATGTGTAGGTTGAAGGTTTTTGAGCATACATTTTGAAGCTTTTCGTGGAATGGCCGAGTGACTAGCATTGAGGTAAGTCTTAGGATACTTGACAAAGGTAGAATATCAGTTGAGTTGGTTGGGAAATATAATACGTATGCCTAACCACTGTCTGCCTTGACGAGGGATACTTGGTTGTGCAGACGTAGGTTGAAAGAAAACTAGATGTAAGCAAAACAAAAAGTGACATTAGTCCATGAAATTTTTGACTGTAGGTATGAGTAATATTGGTAGATGCAAACTACCCGGTAAAAGTCTTCACAATAATGGAAATCACTAGTTTTAGACAATTTGAGCGAAATAACTCAGAATCGTCCAGAATGTCACAGTTGAATTCACTCTTCATCTTCTTCTGAATCTTGAATTCCAACATCTCTTCATATACACCTTTTTACTCTGTTTGTTAAAACATATTCTCAAGGTTCAGTCTTTCTTTTTGTGATTACTGTTATATTATTTCGATATGTTTTGTTAGTTTTATTTCATTGTGCTAATCAGATATAGTAACTTGAGCCAATACACATTTATACCAAGTTATATGTTGGTGATGTCTGTTTGTCTGTGTTCTTAAAGACATTGTATAACATAAATCATAGTGGGAAAATTTCAGTTCATTCTCTTAATTAGGATTTTATTATTATTGGTAAATTCTTCATTTATCGATTTTATATGTTCATTTTATGTTATATCTGTGCATGTCTATTAAATAACTTAACTTCTATGATGTGTACAATTACACTTAGGCTGTAAAGGAATAAGATTGAAACTATTCTCATTAATTTTTTTCCATAGAGAGATAATATGAAACTTGACATTTTATTGTATCAATTAAACTCATAATACTTCAGATGAATAGAATCAGATTACTACTATTAATGATGGACATATGAATTTTGAAATCGAACCAATAATGAAATTCAAAGTTTATTGTATTATTGAGTTTGTGAAGTGAAGATATTTATTTCAAAAGAACGATTTTAAAGTTGTTGTTTCCTATGGGTACCCCTAAATGCCCTGGTAAGGCCGAGAGTGAGAAGAGTCCGCTCTCCCTCTCGAAATGCTCTCACATGGCCACGCGTATATAGCCTCTGCCAGGGAATTCCTAATCACTGTCTTCTCGCACCACGGGTGTTGTTTACGAAGTTGTGAATGTCCAGCACCGGCTTTAACCGGGTTGGTGGACATGGAGAGTTCACCCAGGGGAGTTGGAAAACCCTGATTCCAAACCAGTGGTACACATGGGCTCCAGTATCTTGAAGGAACAAATGACGTAGGAACCAATCGTTGGTCACTGGCTATCATGGGACTGGATCTCCTTACGTTGCTCCTTAGCCCTGTAGATCAGACTTTCAGGTCAAAGGCTCCGGGTGTTGACCCCCTAAGAAAACCATCTGTTTCGGTTTGGGAACCTGGTCAGTATCACAGCCCTCAAACATATCAAATGAGATTTGTGTGGCGCATATGCATTTGGTGCATCCTTGTACCAATATCTGTGTTAAAATAAATAATAAATAAATAAGTTCCTTATGGGTTGACTAATCTTTTAGTGATGCTTTCATTCTCTCTTTCTCTTTCCAAACAACCTCACCGGCAGTAGATATTTTTGAAAAGAAACAGACATACAGAATGTCTGGACAAACGTTTATTTGCTAATTTCATCGGGTTTCTAAAGATGCCCTAGGTTTGTTTAGGTTACTCTCCATTCAAAACTTGGTCATTTTCCCATCATCCGTATCGTCCGTACAGTTCTCTGATTGATGACATATGTTGGTAAAAGCCAAACGAGCTTTCTGAATCCACGCACAGATTTCGTCAGACACCAACCCATGAGGACTGATCAGACTTCCAAGACAAGTGAAATTGTCGACGTGTTCGACTACTACACTTTCTATCCTTAGTTCAGGTGTTGACGCAGGCCAGTCCTGAAACAACAACTTGCATTTAGAGAGCGAGAGAGAGAAGCACATCCCAAATATTCTGGCATTCTTGCTTAGTGCTACCTAAACACTGTATTTTATCAGCCTCTTCACCAAACAGGACTATATCATCTGGGTATTATAAGTCGATAAGTGGACCTCTTGGAAGGCGATCAATGTCCGAGAATTCAGTCGACGAGAACGTTATTTCCCGCAGTATGTCTACGATGAAAATGAACAAAAATGGAGATAGTGGACAGCTTTGACGGACACCACTTGAGGTTGCGAACTCAGATGACAGTTTGCCACAAGCTTTAACTCGACTAGTAGTGTTTGTGTCTATGTACTTATGAGGTACACCTTTCAATGACAGACACTGCCACTGAACATCTCGGTCTACCGAGTCAAATTCTGTTTTTAAGTCAAGAAAGACCAACATTGTCGGACGCCGATAAGCATGCCTGTGTTCTAAGACCTGACGAATGGTGAATATGTGGTCAATGCAGTCACATGCAGGTCTGAAGCCAGCCTGGTTCTCTCGTGTTTGCAGTTTTCACGAGGTGTCTGATAATTATTGAGGCTAGTATTGTAGTTGCTATGTTAGTCAAACTAATCCCTGGATGGTTACCACAGAATGATTTTGACCGCTTCTTATATATTGAGACAATCAATCAGTGATTGCGACCAGTTAGATGGGATTATGTCTAATTCCCAGATCTTAGCTGAAATATTAGTCAACCTGATCGCTAGAATTGGACCACCATACTTAAAGACCTCTGGAACCAATCCATCTAGATCAACTGCTCTTCCTTGTTTCAGAGTTGAAAAGCTAGAGCTGAAAAAGCCATAGGAAATCTGAAACGAGGGAGAGCAGCAGGCCTTGACAGGTTTACTGCTGAGATTTTTAAGGATGGTGGTCCAGTATTAGCAATGAGATTAACCGAGGTCTTAGGTAGAATTTGGGAACTGGACGTAATCCCATCTGACTGGTCTGATTGTGCCAGTCTATAAGAAAGGACAAAAGTCCTCTTGTGGCAATCACAGAGGAATCAGTTTGACTAATATAGTGTCTAAAATATTAGCCTCAATAATACTTCGACGCCTAATCAAAGCTCTTGAAGAGCAGACTAGGGAAAACCAGGCTGGTTTCCGACCTGGACTTGGTTGTATAGATCAGATATTCACACTACGTCAGGTTCTAAAACACGGACACACGTTCAGACGACCCACAATGGTAGTATTTCTCGACCTTAAGGCGGCATTCGACTCTGTTGATCGTGATGTTCTATGGCAGTGTTTGTCACTGAAAGGAGTACCAAAGAAGTGCATCAACCTTGTAAAGACTCTCTACTCGAACACAACTGGTCAAGTGAGAGCTTATAGCGAACTGTCATCAGAATTGATTACCTCAAGTGGTGTTCGTCAGGGCTGTCCACTCTTTCCTTTCTTGTTCAACTTTGTCATTGACGTGCTTATAGAGATGACCATTTCCTCATCTAAATTTCCAGGGGTTGAACTTCTACCGGGAGGTTCACTTGTTGACTTAGAATATGCTGATGAAATAGTTTTATTTGGCGAAGACGCTGACAAAATGCAGAGTCTTCTGACCGCTCTAAGCAACAATGCAAGCATGTTCGGGATGCGATTCTCCCCCCGAAATGCAAAATGTTGCTTCAGGATTGGGTTGCATCGACACCCGAACTAGTGATAGGGAGTGAAGTAGTTGAGCGTGTCGACCTCTTCACTTATCTTGGAAGTCTCATCAACCCTTGTGGTCTGGTGTGTGACGAAATCTCAGTACGGATAAAGAAGGTTCGACTGGTTTTTGCCAACCTGTGTCATTTATGGCGTAGGCGAGATATCCGTCTATCAACCAGAGGACGGGTTTACTGCGCAGCAGTTCGTTTCGTCATGCTTTATGGCAGTGAAACATGGCCGGTAAGAGTAGAGGATATTCGTAGGTTACTAGTATTTGATCATAGGTGTCTTCGAAATATTGCTCGTATATCCTGGGACCATCGAGTAAGTAATGCAGTTGTTGGGAAACGGGTACTAGGTAAGGATGGCAAATCAATTGATGAAGTGGTGAAACTTCATCAGTTGAGATGGCTTGGACACGTGTTACGTATGTCCAACGACCGACTGCCTCGACGTGCGATGAATGACATGGCTCAAAATGGTTTGC